GTTTCCAAAATTTGTCTTATCGTTATATACATTAACATATGTTCATGTAATAATGATTTATTTTTATATAATTAATCAATAATATTTTTTATCATAATTTTATTTTTCATTTGAAATTATGTCATATTATATGAAACATAATATCACGAGGAGATACTGTATAGGAGTAATACTTTTCATCACATGTAAAACATAAAATAAGAACAGATATGATAACAGTCTTTCTGGTAGAAGTTTAAGCCGATAGGCTTATGCGTCGTTAACAAAAATAAATACTGATAATTTGTTTACTGTTCTTATTGCTGGAACATAAAACTATAATTGTAGAATTATAAAAATGTTCGATCATTTTTTTTTTCATTTGAAAAGTGTCGGAATTATGCAACTTTTCTAAAAATTTAATCCAATGATTTAGACTCATACCTCTGCTTATTAAAATGGGAACACAATAACTTTAAAAAGGTTTTGTTAACGAGAATTCAGAGAAGTCATTCCCTCAACACACTACATTGTCTTTTTTTCTCATGGTTATTAATTGTATGTCGAGAAGAATAACAATAAAAATTTCATATCTCTTTGAAATTTCTTTTTTTTTTGTTTATATAGAAATAATAGTCATTCAATATTATAAAATGATAATTTGTTTTTTAATTAAAATATGAAACATCATATAAACTATAGGATAATCTATTACAATTTGTAATCTCTTTTCTTGATATATTAATACATGTTTCTGCAATTTCTTTAACAAATAATCTATTCAATATGATACTTCAGATCAATTGATGCTACATAAGCAAAAGAATTTCAAATGATGATCTTTTATTCCCATTAGAACTGGTTCAAAAACTAATTTTATCAATGCATTTATTAGTTTGTTATCATATTTGACTAAATCTTCAAACAAACTAATTTCTTATTCTTGTATGCATTTAGAAAGCTCTGAATATTTAACCATTAATCGTGCATCCTTTTTTCATGATATTTTTCTCATTGAGCAAATAGTACTGTATGTGTAATGTATCTTATTTGCTTAACACAAATAAATAATTTATAATACTATTCTATTGATATTTGAAAAACATGATAGTAAAAACTAAGTTGTTATAGTTTGAGATAACTATCTTTGCAAAGAAATATATCGTCGAAAAAATTGAATTATAAACGACAATGATTGTAATAGCAAACACTAATCGAATATTATTCATGGCAAAAAAGAAAAAAATTTCTTTAAAAAATTATCTTCAAAAGATTTCTATTTTATGAAAATAAAGACAAGAACACTATTGAAATTGAATACAATTCATTATTTATTATAGATGAATAAATTGAAAGTATTCAATATAAAAATAATATTTTTTTTGTTTTTTTTTAGTAAAACGTTTTTATATCATGAGAAACTTAAGAAGTGGTAATCTTTTCTTCTTTCATTGTTAGATAATTGATCTCGTCATTACGTATGTAGAACTAACACTTAAGAGCATCATAACATAGATGAACATGTTATGTGTTGACTGGCATATAGAATATTCTCTTTGAAAGTCATAAATTTGATTACTCATGATAATTCATTTATGAGACACGTTGGAATAAGCTACTCCAACGAGATTATTTATTGAATATAATTAAATCAAACAATAAAGCAATCTATATTTACCGAAAAAATAAAGATTATTATTGCCAAAGCTTTGGATAAGATAAGAAGTTTTTTTTTTTTGTTTTATTCAATTGCATTCTTGAAATTTTTCGACACTTCAAAAAGAAAATATCGAATAGAAATGACTTTAACTTGCATAGGTTCTAATGCCAGAGATTTTAATTGTGTCGTACGTGATATTCAATGTGACGTTTGCTTCATCCTGTTATTTAGTTATTTCATATTCAAATAGTTCTATTTCCGTTTGCACAGCTCACTTGTAAAAATGTCAAATTCTTCGGATGACGTCAATGATGATATTAAGTACGAACTTATAAATTTAAAATGCTAACCGAGTTTCAAAATTGAAAGAAAAGAAATTTTTTTTAGTCAAATCTATGATGATGTATAAAAAAATATTCTCTCGGTTTGTGAGTATCTTTTTGAGAAAACATTTACAACATAAATTCGTGTTCAATAGTTTTGTAATAAGAAAAAGAAAACAAGTCTTACATATGTATATATCAATACAATTGAGCTCGATATGTCTTTGAATAACTAGAAAAACTCTGACTTTTTACGAAGACATATATAGCTGACAAAAAAAATTCGTCATTTATCACTTGTATTCAATACAGCTATGACTGAAGTTTAATTTCTTCGAGTCGATTTGTTATTCATTATGAATTTTAATTTACGACTTTATAATTCTTTCTGTGATTTAATTGATAAATGAATCGAATTGATTAAAAATTCAATAAACTCGGTATTAACAATTCAAATATAGAGGAACATAGAGTCGTTTAATACTCAAATCAGTTCTATCCATCAAGTATGCTATAGATAGCTGACACCGTTATATTTTATCGTGTTAAGTTAATCTTATAAGTATAAATTGTTGTTTATTGAAGAAAATTTTTTATTATTAGTCTATTATCATCATTTTATATTAATTATTTAAAAGAACTTTGTCAAGAATCGCATGTTAGTGGTGCATTAAACAAATACATCTTCACTAGAATTGCGATAAGTTTTCTTCTCTAAAATGATTATAGAATGTATTGTTCGGATAATGGATTGATGAAATAATAAGATTTTATTTCCAATTGTTCGAAAAAATATTCTTAAGTGAATAGACCATATTTCTTGATCGTAATTCTAATCATTATCAACCATAAAGCTTATGTATGATTGACATGTTAAAATAGTGTAGTCTATTGTGACATAATATTTATTAGATATTCACAAATAGTTTCAACTTGCGAAATAAAATATCTAAATTTGGAATATTTCAGTATCATTTTTCTTTATCTATTACATTCACTGCACTTATTACAACCATTTAATGTTAGCTTTCTTTCTAAAGTAGGAATACAATGAGAAAGATCAGATTCTTTTTGTCAACCAAATGATCCATTAATTATTTTTCTAGTATTTTCAAAGTTATACATATTGCTGTATGAATAGCACAGTGATTAGCAAAATTGCGTTTCGTGCACTTTTGTTGCAACTGTCCAAAACAATAAGCATCTTGAAACCATTGGTGGAAGCTGACAACTTCTGCTGAACTCGATATCTATGAATCAAACAAGTATTTTAAAAATTTCAAATAAGCCAGTATGAAATCATGAAGAATATTCCATGAATTGCTCTATTTTAATTGCAGTAGTAATGATATTTCCATTCAGAACTGATGATTTCACTCAAAATCAAGGCCAAACACTCGTTATTATCAATAAGCATATATCTATTAGAAAGTTATAACAAAGCGATATCTCAAAGAATGATCGTTATTATTTCATTAAACGCAAAACATTCCAAACGTCCATATTTGACTGATCATAGCGTTAAAATTCTCGACAGTAACATAAATAGATTAGAAATGAAAGAAAACGCATCAGAGATGTAGATACTTGTGGTCACCTTATTTTGATACTTTGCTTGTGAATGTGCACAAACACATTGATATTTATACACATTAGTGCTCAAATTTATGATTGAATAGTTGTACTATATGGACAAAAATTTCTAGAAGAATAAACACAGTAATTTTCAAGTCATAAAAGATGTTGTGGAAGCTCGATTTTAACAGTACCATGTGAAAGAGTACAAAGTTCTGAACGATATGTAGTTCGTCGTACCTCTTACGACTTTCTGTTACAAAGTTAAAACTAGGGGTATCAATTTTTAGTTACGTTCTCAAGAATACAAACAACATCCTGGCCTTATGATCCTAGTTATGCAACTGGACTCTGATACTTCTAATTTTGGATTCGAAACTCCTGGGTTTTCCATAGCACCCAAAAGTTTGAACTCGAATTTTGAGGTTAATACCTATGACATCTGAAAGAGCACATTGGAAAACATATTATTCATTGATTTGTCTTAATAAAAACATTAATGGTTTAAACATGGAAGCATGCAATAAGAGATCTTGTTTGACACACTACGTTAGCAATCCACTACGAAGTTTCACTTTAATACCGTTCTATTCCAGTGCGTCGTATTGGTCTAAACATTACAAATAATAGGTTTTAAGTTATGTTTTTTCAGATGCACTAAGTCTCGACTTCCAAATTCAATTTCATATTTGCGAATCCAAAACTAAGAATGTCAATTTTTGATTCCGTGCCTAGGAACACAAATCCAGGATGTGGTTTGTGTTCCTAGAAACATCAACACTGACACCCCTAGCTACCAGCTTCTGAAAAGAACAAAAAAAAAAATGTATGTTTTAGTTTTCTTTTTTTGTGCATTGTAATGCTTGTAATTTTGTACTCTTCCAGATGATACTGTTAAAAGCAAACTTCTACAACGTCTTCTAGCACTTGAAAACTATCATGTTCAATTCTTTAGAAAACTTTTCCACATCGACCAACAATGAAACCTTGATATATAGTACATCTGATGCACCAATCACTATGTGAACTTCAGTTATATTCTTGGCATGTAATGTGACATGGCTCAACTCGTCTAAATTTGCTATATTAATTTTATGTATAGAAAAAAGTATAGTTGTGTACGAACAGAATTTCCTAATATGATATTTACTTTTGTGGTTATCTATTTTGTGTGTTTTGATTTTCAATACAAAATGTTGATATAAAATTTTGGAATTATTTCTCAAAACATCCTATGTTTTAAATACAATCAATTAAAAAAATAACAAGCGTGTAGTTTTTGAAGTAAGGTATGACTTGATCAAATTCACCATTTTTAATCGATATACATCTCTTATTTGAAGTCCGTTGCTTCGCAACAAATATTAAATGAATATCTGATGTCCATTAAATGTACGAATTTATTTTCTTTTTTTTTATGATTATTTTCTTTTGCAATTAACTATAAGAAAAAAGAAAATACAATGGTAAAATTAACACCTGATCTAATTGCTAAACAAACACCAGGTCATAATAAACGACGTGCTGATGAAACCGTTGAACATTATCTTTCACGTCTTACACATTTACCATTTCAAAATCGAGGCATTGATTCAATTGTAATACTAATAGATTTTGTTTTTTTTGACTGACCCATTTTCATTTTCATGTTTTCTTCTTTCTCTTAGGATATGATTCCACCTTGTCGTCTATTAACCGTGATCTATCTTTATGATAATATAATAAATAAAATTGAAAATTTTAATTTTGCTGAAAATTTAACACATCTTTATTTACAAAATAATCGTATACAAAAATTAGAAAATCTTGATTGTTGTTCAAAATTACAAAAATTATATATTGGTGGCAATCAAATACAAGTACTTGAAGGTCTTGATAAATGTATTTATTTAACAGAAATCTATGCTGAAAATCAACGTTTACCTGAAGGTGAAAAACTTGTTTTTGAACCACGAACTTTACAATGTTTATCAAATGTTCTTGGTAATTAGAAGAAAATATATAAAAAATAAAATGTTGTCTTTTTTTTTTTTTTGTTTCCTAGAAATTCTAAATGTTAGTGGCAATAATTTAGATTCTTTAGTTGAATTAAGTTGTCTCGAAAGATTGCAAGAGTTAACTGCAAATAATAATAATCTTGAAAATCTTCGTGAACTTGTACAACTTTTAAGTGTATGGTCACGTTTAAAACGACTTGATACAAGTCGAAATCCAATATGTTCAAAATCACGTTATCGTGAACGATTAATTGTTGTTTCAACAACATTAGGTAACTTATTATATGAAATATCTTATATTTTGAATATTAAATTTATGAATAGAAATGCTTGATGGAAAACAAATAACAGATAATTCTCGACAATTTTTAATGAGCTGGAAAGCAACACGTGAAGCACAACACATGAAAGAAAAATCTAAACCTAATTTACTTTATAATGGAAATGATGTTTTAGGTAATGGTGGTAAGTTTCAAAAAAATGTCGATTAAGAATATGAAAATATTATTGATAAAAAAAAAAACAAAGAAAATTTCAAGGATATATATGTATATATCATTAGTTTCTACCTTTCTTCCAAATATTCGTTCTTCTTTCGCGCTTGCGCGATCAATGACATTGCATCCAGCAACAGGTCCGTAAATTTGCTACCGCATCGCTTATAAAATACGATCGTTTGATTCCTTTTCGCATGAACTATATTTTTGAAAAAAAAAACGACAGACTTGGAACTGTACTACTACTACTACTCAATTTCATTTATTTCCGTAGAAAAATTCGGCCTTATTTGATATTTTATTGCTTTATTCTACCGCTTTTAGCTGTAGTTTCTTATTCTTTATTAATTAGATTGCTTTATTATATTCTTTTCAATTGTATGATTGATTTCTTTGATAGACAATTCATATTACTCGAAGTCTAATTTCTAAATTAACTATAAACATTTTGTAAATGATTTATATTCATTTTTTTTCTAAATTGAACAAAGAATTATTTCTCATGTGTGAAACAGTGCTAGTAGGATTATAAAAAATGTTCATCTTTTTTTGTTGATATTCTCAAATGATACATATCCTTAGAAAAGATTTCGAGTAACTTGATATATATACTTTTTCTTTCAGAAGAATTATAACTGAATATTTAATATTGTTTTAACTTATACAATTTGTTATTTGATTATATTCTATAGATTATCGTCGTAACATATTCAAAGCTGATGTTGGTCTAATTAGAAAAAGTCAATATCCAGAGAGACTTGTAGAAAATGCTCAACGGTTTGGATTGTTAAATATTTCTTTTTTTTTCTTTACAATAAAAATTTTATTTTAGAACAACGACAGTAACAAAAGATAAACATTCAAGTTTTCTTGCTTCAAATAAATTCACTAATACTGGACTAACAAATTCAAATAATAATCATACAATGAGTTTCCATGATCCAACACAACAAGCATTTCTTAAATGATTATTATTTTTATTATGCTAGCCGTTCAATTTCTTATGACAAGCAAGGATAGAAAAAGAACTGTATGAGTAGGTGCTTTTGTTTTTCTTTCATTGTTGTATGCTTCCGAAAAATATGGTCAGCTTGTTTTTTTTTCTGTTATTCATTCATTTCGTTATTATTTTTTAATTAAAACGTTTTATTTGTTTAACCACTATGCTAATCGAGATATTTATGTAATTTGGGAAATTTTATAAAGCTATATATATATATAAAGTGTCTTTTCTATCAAACACAGATTCTTTTTGAAGTTACTTCGTATAGGTACGTTGAATTATAAAATAGTGAATGTCACGAGATGTATATCCGGCATTCACAAGATAACTTTTGTTGCGATACAGGATCTTCGAGACACTGAATTTGCGTCACTGATCGTGATTCAATGGATTTCTAGACTAGTAGTGCAATTTCAAAAGATTATTTAGCTCAATTGGATTGATATTTAATCAAAGAGGTAAAGCACATTGAGTAACAAGTCACAGTAATAACATATTATATATCCATTCATACGAAAAATCGAAGAAAACTTATCCTTCTCGTTGTTCATCTATTTATATTGACTACATTTTGAATCCTATACTTTTATGGTTATTTTATTATTGTTTTGTTCATCTTATAGATATTAAATATTTTTTTTTATTGTTCTTATCATGTCTGCTGAGACACATATAATGCGATTTACTAACATGATCATATTGTCAATGATTTTTGCATAAATAGTGTGTCTATGACATTAAATATAGTAGCACATGCACAGATAAGTTTTATCTTTTACAAAAATATAATTAAGGGATCGTCTGTAGGCCAAACGTACGCGAGTTCTATTTTCTACATTCTGCAGGACAGGACGACGAAAAGCGTCTTATGATATTCTCTGCTCTAGAATGATGCAAGAACTTTGCAACTGTAAAAATGGAGAATCATATATTATCGAGCTAGAAAAAGTTTCTTTGAGTATACAGTATTTTAATTCTATGCCGAAGTATCGAGCTATGTAGGATATATTCGAATAGTCATACTGTCATTGCTGAGTTCTACCAGAAGATAGTAAATATACATTCAGTAAACTATGAATTCACATTATAATATTCAAATGTGAATATATATATTTTTTTGATACGCATTATTGAGTAGTGTCACATATCCAAAATTTTGGAGATGCGCCCACATCTCTCGCAGGAGATGCCGCATCTCCCGTGTGAGACGCGGTCATTTTCCACTAGAGATGTGTTATCTCCTTTAGAGATGCACATCCCCTGCACCCACACTCACATCTCTCGCAGTAAATGCCGCATCTCCTGCGCTAGACGTGGATGCATCTCCAAAATTTTGGATATGTGACACTGCTGGCATTGTTTGATTTTATTATCTAATGTTTATCAAAATTTTATCAAATTAGTGATTGTTTGTTTTTGTTGATGTTATATTCAATGTTACATATATAGAAATTACAGTGTGTACAGAACAATGGTTTCTTTTAGCCCTGATTTCGATCGATTTTTCTATTTTGATCTCGTACATCTCTTTTAGAAACATATAATTCAATAATAATAATCTTTATTTCTTTGTCATCGTTTTGTTATTGATTTAAATGGTTTTCCTATCAAGAGCATTTCTGTAGAGTGCCATACCCTAATTCGATAACGTCATTTTATCTTTTTAGAAGAAATTTCATAACTTTATACCAGAACGTCCGTTTGAATTGTTTTCCAGAGTAAACATTACTCTGTAGCTGCATATAACTTTTATTCAAAACTAATTAGTTCTTAGCTAGCAGCAGTCATTATCAAGACATATATGTACCATTTTTGTCGGTTCTGCTTCTTTTCTAATTTGATTACGTCAACTATTTTTCTTTTCTAATTCGGTCACTTAAGTTAATTCGTATAGAGACTTCATGAAAAGAAATTATTTTGATATCTACGCAAAATATTTCAAATCACAAAAGAAATTACATCATTTGATTTCACATGTGAATATCTTAACTTTTATTCATTTCTTATTTAATAATTCTGTGGTGTAATTCTTAGCATATTTTTTTTTGTCAATTATATTCGAATAATGCTTGTGATCGAAGTAAAGAGATAATTTGAATTTGATAAATGGAATTTTTGAGTTTCTAACTGGATCATCTAATGTAAAATACGTGAAGTTTTGATAAATGATCGAAAAAAAAAGATGGTCG